TTCATTACCACGTAAAATAAATGTTTTAAGGCCACCAAGGACAAAAATCATCACTAAATCATGTTTGTGTGCTCTTGAAAGCAATATATGACATTATTAACTCTTGATCACATTCTTTACTATACTTGTAAAAAGGTATAATTATTTCTTATCCCTTTTTTGCTAGTTAGGGCTCTTGCTCTATCTTGCTCTTCCTACTTTTGCTCAGTATCCACAATCTTTAATTCAGCCATGGGCTCTTACTTTCTTTATCTGCTATCTTCCTCTCTTCATCTTTATCACTATTTCCCAGTGAGACAAATTCAACAATTACATTCTTACCTTTCTGTGCATTTCAACCCATATTTATAAAGGCATTTTAAAAAAAATATGGTTTGGACATTACTTCCTTCTAGAAAATCCATCAGTGACATTCCAATTACACTTAGAATGAACTAAATAAATTCACATATAAAGCCGGGCTTAGTGGTGCACGCCTGTAATCCCAGCACTTAGGAGGCTGAAGCAGGAGGATCGTTGCAAGTTTGAAACCAGCCTGGGCTACAAAGTGAGCTCAAGGCCAACCTGAACTGCATAGCAAGACCCTGTCTCCAAATAACAGACAAAATTTCACTTATAAACAAAAGTACTCAACATTTATCTTACCTCTGCCTCTATCTCATCTTGTGGCAATGCCTCACTATGTTCTAGCTATTGTAGCTCACAGAACATGCTATCATTCATGTTTCTGATGCTCAGTAATCACTATTTTCACTATCCAGATAGCTCTCATGACAATTCTCATGGCTAGCTACTCTTTTATCCTGTAGTTTCTTGGATTGTATATGGACTCCTCAGAAAGGTTTTCCTTGAGATCCACTCTAAAGAGACCCTTCTTTATTATTATTATTATTCATTATAGACACTTTTTAACTGTTGGAAATACTTTGATTATTTACTTGCTTTTGATTTATCTTCTATATGAGAATGTGAGCTCCATATAGGCAATGATTTGGGCTAGTTTAATATTGTATTCTTAGCATTTAGCATAATATTTGGTAAATATAAAATAGTAAATAAACATTTTTAAAATGCTAAATAAATCAATGACTCTTGCTTTGAAGAATTCTACTACTATATATGTATATTTTCCTCATCTAATGAATCACAGAACTGACCAAAAAACATTATCTAGCCAGAGATCTTCATACTATAGTTGAAGAAGTTGAAACTCAGAATTTAAGTGAGTTGTTTTGGGTAGCTGGTGGCTGAGCTGTTAAGAAGAACCAAGACTCTCACATTCCACTAAAATTTTATCCAATTTGCATTTCTCTATAGAATAAACACATTCACTTAAACATACACACAAACAACAGCCACTTAAAAATACTGCAAGACAGCCATAAGGCTATTGTTATTTAAGTTGGTACTGTAGTTTATCACAAAGTCTCTCTCATCAAATTTTATTCCTATATCTTCTACTTTTAACCAGACTTTTCTCCATTGAAATTCTATGTCCATTCATCTAAAGCTTAATATCTAACTAGTTTCAAGAGTAAGTTATGAGTGATATTTTGTCATAGTATCAGCACAGTAAACTTAACTGGACACCATTCCATGCCGAAGCTTGTATGTAACACAGGACTCATGAAGAGAAATATAGGAATAAAATTGGGTTATTAGCTAGATACACTTCTGAAATTGTTATGCCTAATTTCCATGGCTTTCTTATTCAGATTGAATCATATCCTAAAACTGTAGCTGGCTTTTAAAAAAATGATCCCATATTATAAGTCACTCGTTTGTAGCTAAAAAAAGATGATGAAACCTAAGCCAAGCCAAAACAATGTCTTGACTAGAAGCCAAAGAAATTCAATGCCAGAATTTAAACTACAATGAAAGAGCTAATAGTGCACAATTATTTTAATATAGTAAATTCATCTAGATTATTTTGATGAATGAAAGACTTGGTAATTGTTATTCACTGATTAACATATTTTATATAAGTTATCTTAAAAAGTTAACAATACTGAAGTATATGGCTTTGGTGCTTCTTCCTGTAATTTGCATGCCTTGCTTCCCCTCTAAGATACAATGTTATTAAACATGACATGGTAGAAAGAAAAAAGGCACGGAGTCAGACATAAAAAGCTCTAACCTATCCTGATAATTTACTAATTTTATGGCTGAGAAAAAGGCAAAGAAAATGGATGGTACATGCCACACTCAGTACTAAGCAAAGGCCTATTTTTCAAGTTCTGATTGGGCAGTAGTGACTGTTTTTTTTTAAGACAGGGTCTCACTAGATAGACCAACCTACTATGTTGCCAGGCTGGCCTTAAACTTGTAAAGATCCTCCTGCTTCAGCTTCTTGAGGGAAAGTAGTAATTTTAACCGTAAAAGTATTACCATTAGTTAGAAACAATGTATGATGTCAGTACACTTAGGAAAATGTACAAGTAAAACGAGGAAAAAAAAGAACATATGTTCATATTCCCATGATAATAAAAGTGAAAGGAACCCAGAATGCAGCTAACGGTCTGACCTACTGAGCAGAGGGCCCTGTTACAGTTGTCCTTCACTATGTTGCGGTTCACTTATTGCGGCTTTACTGTATGGCCGATTTTTAAAAAAAATACATCTACTTCTGTATTGCAGTTTTCACTATATCGTGGCGTTTTCCAGTATACAGATATTTATATCACATTTATGACTTTGATTATTTTGCCTAAAAATTTAAAAGAATATAAAAATATAGAATGTTAATTCAAACATACTAAAAGAATATTAAATAGAAATAAAATACAGTATGTATTTCATCAGTGGATGAATACTGTATTGTACACAATGGAAATCAGTACAACCCTACAGCTTAAGCAAGTTTGCCAAGGTGAGATTGTACATGGCACAGTATTGGCTGATGGAATGGAAGGCGACCCACCATAGCACTGTGTTCTGTATCACAGGCGCTGACTGGTGACCATAGCATCGGTCTGTTTGCTCTCCCCCACACTGTGCCCATACATTCAGCATCTGTCCTTGTCCACTTTGAGTTCCCACATAGAATTTTACATGTTGTTAAAATTACACAGGCTGAAGAATGTAGAAAGTGTTTAAGGGCATAGGAAGTGTTTGTAAGAGCGTGGGAAAGGTTAATAAGAGAGTGGGAAAGGTTTATAGGAGTGTGGGAAGGGTTTATAAAGCCTTAAAATATATATAAATAATAAAATAAATATAATGCCACTACTTTGTGGATTTTCACCTACCATGGGAAGTCTCTGGAACATAATTACTGCGATAGATAAGGGAATCACTATAATTAGTAACAGTATCATTCTCTTACTAAGAATACCATGGAAGAAAGAAACACATGCAAATAGAGTAAATAATAATTCACGTAGAGCCAAATATAGGATAATAAGCTCCACCTTGAAAGAAGGGCTGGGAAAAGTTTAGAAAGACAACAAATAAAGTTAGGCAAATATTTTGAGTTAGGTTTGAAAAGGCATATTGAGCAGGCTGCAGCAAGAGTAAATTTGGCATGATGTATACCTGTTACTTCTCTCACTAAGTTTTGTCAAATGCAAAACAGATATACACATTGCTGCTTAGAAAGAACACTGGTGCTGGGAGTGATGGTATATGCCTGTATTCCTACCATTTGGGAGGAGTTCACAGTCAGGGAGGGCTATATAGTGACTTCAATGACAGCCTGAACTACACCGTGAGACCACGTCTCAAAACAAGACAGAACAGAACAGAACAGAACAAATGAACACCAGGGAATGGATGTACACTCTATTGGTGACCTGTTTAGAACCTCAAGTTCATGCGATGGCTCATTCTGCTCTTATCATCCTAAAGGGTTGAATCATATAGGAGGGTGGGGAAATCAGAACAAGAAATCAGTAGTATAATCCCTTATTTAATATTCACAACAACTACATAAGTTATATAAGAAGAGCAACATTTATGTTACAGAGAAGGGGGAGAAAGGATCAAAAAAATTAATGACTTTGAGTCAGAAGTGACAAGAGTTAAAAATCTGAATTTATAGTTCTGTTGACTGTGAAGTTCATGTTCAATCCACTATGGGCTACAGTTACATGAATATATTGCTACATGAATATGCCTTTTAGGATTGATGTATGAGTTAAATTAATTAGTAGCTTGATTTTAAAAGTTTCATTATGGACTACTTTGAGAACCAAAGCATATGTTGTATGGGAAAAAGCATTTTTGGCACTAAGGAGCTAATATTCATGAAATACTTTAGAATACAATCACTCTATGAAATAAATCTATTATGTAGTACATGTTATGTAACATGTAAAAACCATACTTCAGAAATTATCTTATAACTATTATTCCCCCCTATTTCTTGAACAGCAAGATAAATGAACTTATTTCTGATGTCAAGAAAATCCAACAAACGAGGTGGCTGTAGTGTAATTAAATCCTATGGACTGGGGCTGGGATACAGCATAATGGTACAGTATGTGTTTAGTATATGTAAGGCCTTGGTTCAATACTACACACACACATGGAGAAATGAAGGAGGGAGGGAGAGGAAGATAGGAGAAAAGGAGGAGGGAGTGGGGGAGAAGAGGTGGGAAAGGAAAATCTTGTGTGTCAAGTATGTATGTCATGTATGTCAATCATGTACGTCAACTTGGTGCTTCCAAGTTTTCATGTTAATACAGCAAAAAGATTCAGGATGTACTTTCTTCTTACACTGATTATAGCAGCATTTTTAAAAAAGTCTCAAACCATTATGAAGAACTTTTAAAATATTACACAGCATTTACAGATTTTTAAAACACTTATGCAGCACGGTATCAGAGTTAACACAAAAACAAGTTGTAAACTATTGAGACATGCTTGTTATAGGAAATAAATTTTTCTCTTCAGAAAAAATGCATACTTGCATATATTTAAGAAATGAGCTATACAGTATCTGTAGAGTATAATTATCAATGGAAGCAAAGTAATATAACAATCAACTTGCTAAAATACTATACCTTCTTCTCCTTGAACAGGTTCTTCTAATAGCAACTCTGTCATACATTCCCAGTCTTTTAACAGTTCTTGAGAGCTCTCCCACAAACTGTCCACCAAGTAGGCTGCATGTTCATGTAACTAAAATTAACAAACTCAGTGTGACTAAAGAACATTTAAAGAAAAACAAAACTAAATATGGAATTAATGAACTATTTTCATCACAATTAAAATGGCTTGGACTCAATGATTCTAAGAAGCACTTAAATAATAATTATATAATTCAGGACACAGTATGTAGAACCAATTAACTTTTTAACATTTATGGCACTAAGAGTTAATTAAGATCTCAGTCCAATGAGAAAACAGCTAGTTAGCAGCATTCCCAAATTATCAGCCAAGTCTAGGTCACATTTTACTACACCTGCTTGTCTCTTTTAAACTATCTCTTTTTAAGTGACTTATTTCTCCTATAATCCCACTTGAGACCTTGGTGTTAGCCTTGCTTATTTTATATCTTCATTTGGTGAAGACATAAAAATTTAAATTATTGCCTCTTTCCTCTTTTCTACTCTCATTTCCACTTGACTCAATGCAATTCTTACCTCATCTCATCTTATTGGGCACTGCTTTCTTCACAATTTCCACCAGAACCCACGTTCCCACAGCAAACAAGCACACTTAAATTACTCATGAAACACTTAACACAATCTCTGTACTACTTGTTGGTCATTAAACCTTGGAGAATATGGTTTACTCCAAAGAAGCTTTTCAGGGAAGGTAAGTAATGGTGTTGGCAATGTTTAAGTTTCTGCCACTCATAAATGTTTCTCACTCATTTGTATAAATCTTTTTAGGCTTATAAACATAGATAAACCACCCTTGAGATCAGAGAGAACTACCTATGGATTATACTTCATTCTTGGGGTGTTAAAACTAATTTAATGCATTCAGACCAAAGTTTCAAACAATTAAACGGATGAGATGGTGCACACATGTAGTACCAGCACTTGGGAGGGCAAGGCAGGAGAATTGTTATGAGTTCTGGGCCAGGCTGGAATACTGTACATAGCAAGACCCTGTCACAAACAAACAAACAAACAAACAAACAAACAAACAGTCCCCTCCCCTGGTCCTCAATAAAGAACAGTGCACAATACATAGAAAGGGTAAATATTTCATACTTTTTTTTTGGCACAGTGGGGATCTAACTCAGGTCTCACACATGGTAGGCAACCATTGTACCACTGAGCTACATCCTAGCCTTTAACTGTTCTATGTGCTTTTATTTGTGAGAGAAAATGTTTTCCTCTTAGGAATGGTGGGCTCAAAATTATGGAAGCTACTTTTCTAGATCTGTTGGTTATGTACAGTCATCATGGTACATGTGGCACTTCAATTTTTTTCTACTCCTAATTCAATCATAAGAAAAATTTTAACTTTAATGTAAAGTATGATGATTTATGCTCTGCCTTCTCTCCTCACATATATACTTCATTTTAAATATTACACCCTTGCTGCAGAACTGCCTCAGGAAACGCGTGCTCTCCCTCCCTCTCTCTCTCTCTCTTTTTCTCTCCCTTTCCCCCGAAGAATTCTGTCAAAGTAGGAGGAGCTAATACTGATTAACATCTTTGGTTGGAAAGAACATGAGCAAAGGCTTGCAGCAAGGTACTGTATCTCCAAACTTTACAAAGTCATCTGTTTTGAGAAACCAGTCTGATGATCAGTAACATTCCTATAGTGACAGGGACAAATAGTACACAACTTGCTGTCAAACATTAAAATGGAAGCAGGAAAAAAAAAATGTTTCAAAACTGCTGCTAAAACCTATGCTGAAGAGGAAAAGTTTTAGTTTGGGAAGATTTTGAAAAAGTTCTGGCACATGAATAGCAGTAGTGAGTGCACAGTAATGTGAAAGTAGTTAATATTACTAAACTGTGCACTTAAAATTCAAATTTTGTAATGCATATTTACCACTATAAAACACATGTTGAATTCTGGGCGTGGTGGCGCATGTCTGTAATCCCAGCACTGGGGAGGCTGAGGCAGGAGGATTATTGTGAGTTCGAGATCAGCCTGGACTACAAAGTGAGCTCAAGGCCAGCCTGAACTGCATAGCGAGACCCTGTCTGAAGAAGACCAAAAAAAAAAAAAAAATAAAAATAAAAAACCAAAAACAAACAAACAAACAAAAAACATGCTGAAGAAACAGGGCTTTACATTTGATTATGTAGATGTATATGTTCACAGAACAGGTATTTATATGCACACATATATTTGGTGGCTTTTAACTTTTACAAATATAAAATATTCCCCTTCTGTGACTCAATGCTTTTGGACTACAATTCTGATTTATCTTTTAATATACTGTCCCTGCATTATTTTCTTTTTGTAGGTGTCTGTTACCGTTTATGTCTAGATGTCCCCCTAATGCCTCATGCGGTCATAGGGTTTTTTCAAGGTGGCTGAATCTGGAATGTGTAACTGACTGGTAGTGCGGTGCTGAGATGAAGGAAGTCTTATACTTGTCCTCTAGGGAAGGTAGCCTCCATACATTATAAAGGACAGAAAAAGTCTTCTCTCTTGCTCTTGCTGTTTTCTGCCACCATGTGCTATTGCCACGGTGCTCTGCCATGCACCACTGTCTTGGAGCCAGCCACCTATGGACTTAAACTTCTACAAATTGTGAACTAAATAAACTCTTCCTCCTCTGTGTGTGTTGGGTATTTTATCTCAGTAATGAGAGAAATGTAACTAAGACTTATCTCGAAATGTGACTAAGAAATGTAACTAAGACTATCTCTTATATGTTAATTCCCCTGGGTGAGAATTATGCCATCAGAAAAGACTTTTTTGTAAACTACCTGTCTTATTTTGACTAAGACATATCTATAAACAGCATATAGCTACTTTTATATCTTTATTTCAACTTCCAAAAACAATTAATGCTGGAAATATTCCTGACATTTTGTTTTGTGTTTTGTCTATTGAGAAAAGGTCTCACTATGCAGCTCAGACAGGTCTTGAACTCTCTATGTAGTCCAGGCTAGTTCCAAATTCATAATCCTGCTGCCTCGGTCTCCTGAGTGCTAATATTACAGGTGCATGCCACCATGCTTGGCTTTATTCCTGGCATTTTATTCTGTGCTCTATGCAGTATTTCCTTGAGTGTTTTCCCTTAGTTTTGTTTTCTAACATATTTTTCTATTATTAAGATCACTAGCACATTTGTTTGTCTTTATTTAATTTGAAAATGACACTCCTACACCTAAGGATATTTTTATGTATGTGCCTTAAAATTCACAGCCATACTATTTAGTTTGTTTGTTTTTTTCTGGTACCGGGAATCGAACTCATGACGTTGCGCTTGTCAGGCAGGCACTGTGCCGCTGGGCTAAATCCCCAGCCCCAGCCATACTATTTAGGCTTAGCTCTAAATTTTGAGACCTACCTGCTCATCGAAGTTTATTATATTCATATTTTTCTTTTACCATATGTATTTTTCATGTGGCTAGAAAAATCCTTAGCTAGTAGTCTGCATATAGAGTTCATAGGTAGTAAACTTTCTGAGCTATGTGTCTGTCCTCTAGTTAGTTTCTTCCATTTTATCTGTTCTCTTTATAGAGTTCCTACTAGATCAATACAACTTTTCATCTATACCCTGTTTCTTCTTTTATCTCAGGCTTTTCTTCTTTGGTACTGCTTTCTAGAATAATTCTTTGGTTCAATCCTTGGATGTGTCCATTGAGACCTAATATTTTTTTTTTCTATTTTAAAAAGGAGGAAAACACTGACAGACAGACAACCTTTTACAAAATAGCAAAAGAACAGTACAGACAATACAGAGTTACAAACAAAGTGGCAGGAAATTAACAATGCTTCTTGTATTACATTTTGATATCTTTAAAGTAGTTTCTCATGAAAACAGATAGAGACATGCAATATTGATCGATAAAGGACTAATTGACAGTTTCTTTCCGCAAAGAAATAGAAGACAGTAGAACAACTATGTTAACTATCCTGTATATACATACATATAAAATTTCTCCTTCTTTCCCTTCTCTTTTCCCACATCCCAACTGCCCTTTACCCTTGAGTGTTTTCCTATCATTTCACAATGTCATACTATAATAGACATTGTGACATGATAGGAAAACATTGAGACCTAATATTTATTGACTACCCTTCTTAAATTTTAAAATCAAGTTTTTATTTCTATAAAGTATCTTCCTCTTTCAAAATATTTTTTTCATGTGGCATAAGTCTTTTTTCTAAAGGGATAATTCTTGCCTGAGGAAATGAGTTAAATATTTTCATCATTATGTTCAGTTTATGTCTCTTAAAAGTTTTAGATTCTTTGTGGCAGTTCCTATATGTCAATGGTCTAGATTCAACAAAGGTAGTAGCCAGAATCCTTTCTCTCTCTCTCCCTCTTCCTTCCTTCCTTCCTTCCTTCCTTCCTTCCTTCCTTCCTTCCTTTCCTCCCCTCCCTCCTTCCTTCCTTCCTTCCCTCACCTCCTCTTCTTTCTTCTTTTTTTTTTTTTCTGGAGACAGAGCCTTGAATATTTCAAACTGGCCTAGAACTCTCTATGTAGCCCAGGCTGGCAATCTTCCTGCCTCAGCCTCCTGAGTGTTGGGATGATACATGTGGACCATCATACCCAGACCAGCATACTTTTTTTGAGTCTGATTGCAAGATCGTGGTCTCCCTGATTAAGCAGGAAAGAGGAAATCTGTATAAGGTAGGTTTTCCTTCTATTGTGTAGGTATATAATTTGTCTTCTGAATGTAAAAATTTCTTATCCCTATTGGTGGCTATAAATTGTCTGAGCATTTACTCTCTGCTTCTCAGACCCACTGTACCAGCAATTCTAAAGGGACAAGTGGGCTCAGCTAAGGGGCAGTCATTTATTTACTATTTATGTGTTACCCACTTACTATCTGCTACTGTGATTTTTAGTGTATTTCAGAGTTCTTCAGAAAATCTCAGTTAAAAATGGAATTTCCTATTTTTTGCCTCACAGACTATAGGTTACTACATACTACTGGAATTTGCAGTCTTTCCTCAGTTACTTTGAAGCTTCCATAAATTCCTCACTGTTTTGGTGAATTGGTAATACTTCTTTCTTTTTTTTTTTTTGAGACAGGGTCTCAATACGTACTTCAGGCTGGTCTGGAACTCCTAGTTATCCTCCTGCCTCTGCCTCCTCAGTGCTGGGATTACAAGCATATGCTACCAGGCTGGGCACCTCTTCCACCCTGACTAATTTAGTCTGAGATTTTCAGTGGCGAAGTTGATGGCACAATTCAACCCTTTTGATCTTGAACTGAGGTAAATTAAAACTTGGCTCTGGCATATTGTCAATATTCCTCTCAGAAATTTTGAGTGTTTTTTTTTTTTTTTGAAAATTAAAAGCAAAGTCTACTGAGCTACATTCTCAGCCCCTTTTATTTGGAGAAAAAGCTAGGGCTTTTCAGAACAGGATGATCAGTCGGAGGTTAGGCTGACATAATACTGAATCTAGGAAAGCCCTACTATCTATGGGCACCTGTGACAACCATAGAACTTGCTGATTTCAACTTCCTGTTCGATTACCAGGAAAATCAATGTTTGAGGGAAAAAAAAAAGTTTGAACATACCCTAGATAAGGGTAGAAGGCCGTAATCACTTTTCAAACACTTTATACCAAAGTAAAAGATGATGCTGTAAGAAGTTAAGACAATAAGGCATTTTCAACCATCATTGAAAACAAAAAACAAAATGCTGGGAATAAAAAGGAATGGGAAATGTAAAAATGCAAAAAAATTTTGTTTTCAGTGTTATCATTTAAAAGAAAATGTGAAAAATCAGGTAGCTAACAAGCATTCTTTGTATTCTTCAAAAATTAGGTGAATGGCCCAGCGTGGTAGCGCATGCCTATAATCCCAGCACTTGGGACCCTGAGATGGGAAGATCATTGCAAGTTCCAGACCAGCCTGGGCTACAAAGTGAGCTCAAGGCCAGCCTGAACTGCACAGCGAGACCCATTCTCAGGAAAAAATAAATAAATAAATAAATAATAGGTGAACAAAAATTGAAACTCTTCAATGCATTAAAAAAAAAATCACTGACAATATGGACAATTAAAATTGCATCAAAGTATATTTATAAATTATGTATTATATAAATTAAAATTATTTATATCCATGTGGATTTTGCCCTGCTACATAGAAATATATTTCAATTTATACCTTTCTTCTACGTTTATATATAGCACAAACCAACCTCATTTTCCTGGTAACTTTAATTATAATTTTCAAGGTATATTCTCACCAATCTTTAATTAAGTTCAAAGTTACTTTCAATATTTTATCTGAAGTTTTTTCTGTCTCCTAACCTTTTTGTTGGCTAGATAAAAACAATGAAGAATTTCACTGTATGGGAGAAACTTACAGTAATCCTTTATATGTCAAACTGTTTACAATTCAAGTAATCACCCCAAGTTATTAAGCCTAGAATTTCTAAACAATTTTATGCTTGCTAAAATAGAGCCATTCATAGGTGAATCTAGAAAACAAAAAACAAAAAACAAAAAACAGAAACAAAAACAAAATCAAACCAAAGAAACAACCAGACAAACCCAGGATCTCATTTGTACACCAGGAATGAACATTCTGGGGACAATTCTTAGATGTATCAATGAGATGGCTGTCAAATTTGTGACTGTCCCAGTTAGCGTCAACATTCAATATGCTTGCAAGGAGAAAGCCTGTATTTCTAGACTACATAAAAATAGCTTTCTGAAAGAATTACTAATAGTTTCCTTGTTCCTATGAAAAGACCTGAGTCTCTATAACAAACTCTATGGTTTATAATAGCTATAGGGAAGTCTGGAGTAACTAAATTCAAATACCAATTATTCTTGTAACTGACATGCATCTAAAATACAAAGTATTCTGTCATCTGAACTTAATGAGTGCTATCAAGGTTGTAGTAACTTTAAAAGGTCACTTTTTGGTAGCAAAAGAAAACTAACAATTAGTTTAAGCAGGTTTCTTGATCTATATAATTTCACCTGCACTGAAAGCCTCTTTCAACATTTTGTAATTCTAGTACTTCTATTAAAATATTACTATTTCACACTCTTGTAAATCAAAGAAGAATGAACATCAGTTCAGTTAATCCCAGGTAAGTGATCTGCAACTCACTGATAAGACTCATTCTACTTTAAATTTCTAAAGTCTCTGTTAATTCAACATTTCAAGACTCTATTAGTAAAATTTTAATAATTAACATGTGTTATAGTAACCAGAAGAATTCAGAGTAGTATTCAATCAGAATCCCATCACATTATGTGAACATGGCTTCAATAAAGACTCAGCTCCCAAAGTATACTAGTATAATAGGATAAGAAAGACTTTTCAGAAATAATGTTTTTTGTACAACAGGAGCCCAAACAGCCAATACACTGACCATGAATCAGCCAGAAACCCTGGAAGACAGTTTGGAGATCACCAAAATGCCATACAAGAGAACTAGGAAATAAAGGTTAGTATCTTTTTGTAACACTTTGGAAAACAACAGTAAATACAGTACTACTGCCTGAAAATGTAACAGTAATAAACATTGTAAGTTACTGTTTAATGAAATTACTTGAAACTAAATACTTAGGTCTTTTAATAAATCAGAAAGTCCTAGAGCTTTCAGAAATCCAAAACATTGTCTTTTAATAATTTAAGTCAATTAGTCATGACTTCCCCTAAACTTTTCATCAGTTTAATAATATTTTCATGCCTCATTCCTATAGATAGAAAAAAAAAGTAGAAGCAGCAGCATGTATAGATACAAATTCCTTATGATGAATGTGATCATTATGTATACCTAAATTGTACCAATAAACTTAATTTTAAAAAGTTGGTTTACAAAAACAAATCTCCCAAACAAAAAAAAACTCCCCTAAACCAACCAGAACAACAACAATAACAACAAAAGACCACAAAAAAAAATGACCAATGAAAAAAAGCAAAAACAAAAACAAAAAACAAACCCCTCAGGCCCCTCTCCAAAGCTACTGTAGCAGAAATAGTATTTTAACAAGATACACAGGTGATTTGTGAGAACATTAAAACATTATTTTTACATTCTTTACTCAAATGCCAACTCTCCAGCTGGTTTTGTTTCTAAGTTTATTTTTTCTTTACTCAGTCCCAACTCAAAGTATCAGGGTAACTCCTCTGCTCTCTACCCTGCTGTGCCCTAACCAATGTCAATGAATTCAGCACATACTTCTCTGATTTTATTTTTCATGTAGCTTGCCTGTTTGTCTCTTCCTAATTCCTACAGTTCCTCTAGTGCTCTCAGACTTGAACATTCATGGAACCATTTTTTGTCTTTTGAGACAGGATCTTGCTAAGCAGTTCAGGCTGGCCTTGAGCTCATTTTCCCGTCTCCAACTTGCAAGGATCCTCCTGCCTTGACCTCCTGAGTGCTGGGATTACAGGCGTGCTCCACCACACTCAGCCTCATGGAACCTTTTAAATTTCTTTTCTTCCTTGACATTCCAACACAAGTAAAAAACACTTTTACCCAAATAAAATTGAGCCTAAAATTTCTAGAACTTCTTTAGTTGTTTTGTAACTCTATTCTCATGCATTTCTAAATTCATTCAGGGGCACTTTTGGTTACATATACCAGTTCTGCTAATGTCATGCTAGTAATAAAAATGAGGAACAGTATTTTAGTAGGCAAATGAAAGTTTATCTGGAAAACAAATTCCAATACATAATACGTTATGAGTGTTAAGTATAAAATCACTTACTTGTTTTTTTGAGTCAGGGTCTCACTATGTAGTTCAGGCTGGCCTTGAACTCACTATGTAGCCCAGGCTGGCCCTGATGTTGCAGTTATACTCCCGCCTCAGCTTTATAAAATCATTTAAACAATAACTGACCATATAGCACACGGACACATTGTCACAGTACTTATAAGCAAGGTAAACTTTACACTGTCAAGTAAAACAACTAAACAAATATCTTCTTCTCCTCCTTCAATAATAGAACTTTCAAATGACAAAAAATTGTTTTAACAGACTGACAACTTTCATAAATAGCTTAATTTAAAAGCTGCAGATAAAAATTTAAGGAACAAAATAAAAGTATGCAGTACTGCAATACTGGAGTTGTATAAAAGTTTTAACAAATTTACTAGTCTATATTCAGTGTTGCTCCACACCTGCAGATATATTCAGAATTTCTCCCTACAAAAGGTAAAAGATTGATTCTACAATCAAGCAGTTGAAGAAATGTACAAGAGACAGGACTGTTTTCATTTGACTGAAAAAAACAACTGTTTACAATAAATTAAATGGCAGTTTTATTTAATATATAATATAACAAATAGTTATATCAGAATTTTCTTTACCTCACTTTCAAGAAAAAAAAGAACAAGCATCCTAATGAGGTTCCCATTAGGACTATTCCTTCCTCTTCTCTTTGCTAATGCTTCTTCTGCTTGTGGGTCATGTCTGCTAAACAACCTGAGGGGGGGAAAACAGCATTATAAACTCATATGGATACAAATTTCAGCCCTCCTAATATACATCATGTCAGTGTTACCAAGTATCTATGATCAGATTACCAATCTAGTTCAAATGTATCAATGTTGTCTTTACAGGTCAAAAATGGTCAGATGTAAAAAATCTCAAACAGATCATTCATATATAACATGTAGGAAGAAAGATTTTAATGATAAGTAATGAGTAGTCGAATATTTATGAAATATATAAGCACTGCTATTATCCTGTATGACTGATACTACAATATAAAATTTAAATTGAGGCCTATTTTCTTTTTGAGCTCTATTTTTTCAAGTATTGATTTCATAGTATTACAGAGTCAATCAAATCTTCCAGCAATAATCACAGTTTCTTTAAATGTCCATAACCTCTTAATTCTTCCATACTTATAGCCTATTATCTAGAAAAAGCACTGTTTCCAATAAAAATGACACAATACTATATTTATGAAAACACCATTTAGCAGCAAATTTCAAAAATATGGCTAAGAAATGGTATCAAAGCTTTAGATTCATTCTAATGAAATTTAAGGGGCCAGGGGTGTAGCTCAGTGGCACAGCGCCTGCCTAGCAAGCGCAAGGCCATGAATTTGATTTCCGGTACCAAAAAGAAAAAAAAAAAAAAAAAAAAAAAAAAAAAGCAAACAAAATTGAAGGACTGCTGCCAGGCATGGTAGTGCATGCCCATGATCCTTGAACTTGGGAGTCTCTAGGCAGGAGGCTTGCTGCCAGTTTAAGGGCAGCCTGGCCTACATAGCAAGAGGCTGTCTCAAAAAACATACAAGCAAGCAAGTAAGCAAGCAAACAATTTAAGGACTGCTAAGTATCTCTCATTTCCAGGCACTGCTCCAGGCGATACAGATATAGGCAAACAGTAGTAAACAAAGACAAAAGTCCCCATTCACATGGAACTCTCACTTCATGTATGCCAATTAACTAAGTGTATACTTATCTCACGTGTCACTGGAATAGGCAAATAGCTTGTATAAGTTTATGTAAATCAGCACAGGGTCTTAAATAAAGGGCTAACTGAATAAAATGAGCATGATTTCACGTGACATAAAAACAAACTAATTCCAAGTAAAATATAGCAACAGAAAAGTTTAATCTGCTTGGATGGCAGAGGCATGATTGATCTTGAGTTTTTAAAACCTTGATGAGTTTTAAACTATAATGGTTGAAGAGAAGTTTTGCTACGTGTGTGCTAACGTTAGGCAGGAGGATCACAAGTTTGAGGGCAGCCTGGTCAACTTGCCAAGAACCTTATTTAAAATTTAAAAGGAGCTAGAAATATAGTTTGTATAGAATGCTTACCTAAGCATGCATAAGGTCCTGGGTTCAATCCTTACTACCACATACACACTAAAGAGAGGTTTTGTCTTTGCATAGTAAATGGAGAAATCAAGGTTTTTGATAATTAAAATACATCAATTTATATAACTGCATTTACTTACAAATATAAGGTAGTGAAATTAGCTTAAGTTTTAAAATATGGACTTGATATATTGAAATATTCATTTCAGGTATCTTTCACTGTTTTTTAAGGCCTGGGTAAGACTGCCCATAATGTACAGACCGCATAACACTGATGCGCAAGCACATATACACATACCATGGACTCCTGGGGCTACTCTGAACCTCACTTGTTAGGACTCTGAACAGATAACTCTATCAGATGGTGAAAGAATGCTCAAAGAAGCAGTAATGAAAAATCAAAAGTTGTTAAAGTGTGTGTACATCTCCAGAGTAAGGGCCTAAAATCAACTTGTAGAGGAAACTTTCATATTTGTCAAGGAGTTGGCTTCATTTCCATAAAGAAATAATGAAGGCTTATCCCTCTAGATTTTTAATATAAAATATTTCTACTTAAACATTAGGAAATAGTTCAAGCTTATGATACAAATAAAAATATCCAAGGTGTTTTTCTAATTTCTGGACTATGTTGTTACAATCTCTGTTTTACAGAGAATCAACTACTTTATTTTCTTTTTGAAAGCACAGAAGCAATAAATTCTTTCTAAAAACACAAAATTATTAAAAAGTTTAGTACAGAGACTAACTAGAGAATAATAATACTGTAAAAGAGGAATTAACACTACAACATACCCATGATATTCATTACAGACAACATCCCAAAATAAATATGGAAACTGCAATGTTCTACTGAGTATAGATGTCAGGGCGTTAAGTTCAATATATTACTTTAAAAGTCATGCCTGAAAATCTTCATTTTCTTCCTCTTTACTTTCATTGCCAGCATACACTAGTTATCCTGTCTCCATTTAAGAAAGATTTCTCACACAGAAACATCTTTTCCCACTTGGAGCAGTACAACTAAGGACTTAAGAATTTATTATTGCAGCACAGACATCCTGATACTGGATGGAGGGACAGGCCTGCCTATTACCGAAGTTAATTATCCATGTACAATAGTAGCCCGGAGCACAATTTTCATCTATTGTTTAGCATAATCACAAGTTTGTACATGTACTAGACTTTTGGGTTCATCTGTCAATATCCAAAGCCACTAAATGAAACTCATAAGCAAGACTAGCGAAAATAAAACAATGTAAAACATATACAACCAAGAATGTACTAGTATTGTGAGAATAATTCTAATAAATTATAGAGCATATACAGTAACCACAATAAAATATATTTCATACACTTATGTTCATAAATTCCATTCTATGCTTTGACAAAAAACAGATGAAATTTTAAAAATTTAAACTATTAACTGTATATGTAAGTTTCAGAATTCCTATAGGTCACCAAAATAATCTTCATCCCAATGGAGAGGACAGGAAAAAACTAAAGTGTTAACATTTTGAAAGTGACACTGCTTCATATTTAGATTACAAATATTAAAAAAGTGAGATCAGAACTATTTTAAAAGAGAAAAAAAAACTAATGAAAGGAAAAACTGTTACCTGAAAAGCTTTTTATAAACTTCATGGACTTCTCAAAGCTGTACTCGTATCTCCAGCTGATAACCAGTCTATCCTCTCAGACTTCTCAGGGAAAAGGAACACATTACAAAGCATACGATTCTCTGGCATGTGATTCATGTGTACCCAGGCCATGAGGCTTTATTCTCCCCAGAACAGTATGAAATGGATCCTTTCAGCACTGTGTTTACTCAAACTTATTATTTTCTAGTAACTCTAAACAATAATAAAACAAAGTACCAAGGTAGAATTTGTTAAAAGATAACTCACTTTTTGTGAAGGAACTCTCCAGCTGCCACAGCAACAGGGCGATGTGCTGAGTATACCAAATGGTAAACATTTTCACAGTCTTCATTGGAAAGGGCTTCTTCACTTCCACTGAAAAATTCAGAAAGTACATCTGAACTGAAACAAATGCTGACTTTCAATTCTAACTTTAATTACATTTTTCAAAATACATCCTAAATGTTGAAGGCAACTGATTTGTTTTGTTTTTATCTAATTTTGGAAATAATGTTTTTCTTTATAAAAGACAGGCAAAAAATTTAGAAAACACAGATAAAACAAGAAAATAAAATTTACAGAATTCTATCCACAATACATAGGGATATGTATTAAGCCTAAATTAGCTTAAGCTCTTTGAACTGCATAGGATTTTCATTGATATGTCCTGGGAATGTAGCTGTCATTGTTTCATAGAGTTAAATTGAGCTATGTAACTTCTTTCTAGGAATTTTATCTTTGAAATTATATTTTATGATAATATTTATAATGCTATTTAGTCTTTTTACTAAATAAATGGATACTCTAGTCACAACCATTCCTTTATTAACACAACTTTCCTACCTTTCTGTTCTCGTACTTTTAAAGTATATCATTTGTTAGTTGGCTATATGTGTGTTTAAGTATTTTTGCCCTCAAGAAAGGAACATTCATTTTCTGACTGTTAGTATTTTAAAAATGTCTGCAATGGAGCTCCCCGTGCCTTGCGCCCAGACAGCGAGTTCTCCGGGAGCGGCAGGGCTCCTGGGTCCGAGTTTGTGCTGGACGCATACCACCACGATTCCCAGCTGAAACGCAAACACAGAGCCAGGTAGGCCCCATCCAATCCCGGAGAACAGGACGCGAGAACAAAGACCCCTCGGACATTACAGACTGAGTTGCTAGGCGCAGGGAGGCCCAGGGGAAGGGCAGGGTGAGCAGGCCCTCTGAGCCGGCCGAGTAGGCTCCCCCAGGCCCCCGCGCCTTGTGCCCAGACAGCGAGTTCTCTGGGAGCGGCAGGGCTGCTGGGTCCGAGGTTGCGCTGGACACATACCACCACGATTCCCAGCTGAAACGCGCGCGCACAGAGCCAGGTAGGCCCCATCCAATCCC